TGTGGTTCTTGTGCTCCTGGAACATGCAGAGGTAGCAGATGCACATCTGGTCTGTCTGACAAAACAGCTCCATGGTCTTCCCATGCACCGGGCACTTCCTCGCCTCAAAGTCCCTGATGGGGTCCAGCAGCTGGTGATCCCGGAAAGCGGCGCCCTCCAGATGGGGCTTGAGATGCAGGTCGCAGAAGGAAGCCTGGCACACCAGGCAGGACTTCACGGCCTTCTGCTTGTTGTCGATGCAGGAGTCGCACAAGACATCTTCCAGCTTCACCCTGGGCCTTGACCCGGCCACACGCTCAGGCCTGTTGAAGTTTAGTTTCCTCAGGTCCCCAGTCTCTACAAAAGGGAGAGACGGCTTCTTCAGGTCCCCAAACTGCGAGCTAGGAAACAGTGGCTTCCTTCCTTCCCCATCAGTGGCCAAGAAGTTCTTCTTCAGCTCTGCTGCCAGGAAGGGTTTCTTGAAGTCCCCCTTTTCTGTGAATGAGAACGGGGGCTTCTTGAAGTCTCCCAGCTGCACTCCCGAGTACGGCAACTTCTTGGCATCCCCCGAGTCCATGCTGAAGTAGCTCGACCGCTTCTCATCGGCAGACTCCACCAGCTGGATGATGGGCCTCTTCCATTCCCCGCCAGGGAAGAGAGAGCTCTTCACTTGCCCTGTCTCCAGAGACAAGCCCCCAGTGCTCTTCACCGTCTCCTCTCCCCTGCTGGGGCTGGTGGGCTTCTTGGCTTCCTCTCCATTTTTCTTCGGGCTGGATGGGCTCTTCGCATCCTCTTGTTTCACAGCGGTGCCATTTGTCCTGGCTGCACTCCCCGTTTCCATTGCACGGCAGACCAAGCTGGCTCTTCTCCACCGCTTGTTCTCTCACCCTCGCTCCTTCCTCAGCCCCTGAGAAGAGGGTAGCTCTCTCCACTGGCTCTTCTCTCTGAATTAACCTTGCCAGTTGTCTCTCCGCAAGGAAGGGAGGTGGATTGGAGGCAAGGCTCTGCTAAATGACACACCTGGACGTACTGGGAGGGGGAGGAGAACACCTGAATTGTGCTGGGTTGAGGCAGAGAGAGACGTAACCAAAAGATGAGACTTTACAGCTGTGCTGGCAATTATTTCATGCAGTCCCCACCCAGGAACCTACCTGTCTAACCAGGTTTTTGGCGAGGGGGAAGGGTTGTTTATACACATGGGGATTTAAAAAAAATAACTTTCATTAAGCCACAGCAACCAGTTCTGCCGCTTGTGTCGTCCCTAATTGCTTCTCGCCGTCGGGAGTGGAGAGGTAGGCAGGGTTGGCAGGCGTGAGATCCACAACATGGGCTTGGTAAGTGGGTCATGCCCATGCCCAAAAATAATTAGGGCCATAATTAAAATGAATATGGAGAATAACATGCATTAAGCTGGGATCTCCAAGGTTCAGCACGCTGAGCGGTGGAGGGAGGGGAAGGGGAATGGATCACGCTGCGTGTGATTGACCCTTGTCACGCACTTGAAATGTTGGTATGATTCAAGTCGGAGCCGTCCACAGTTTTAGGTGTCCCAGCGATGAACTTAGCAGCCAGGAGGACGTGGGAGAAACAGAGTAAACATGAACCAAAGCATGGTGGCCACTTACTTTTCAATGGAATATGTGACCGTCGATCATGTGACCAACAGACCTTAAAAGCCCCCGTCCACCTTATTGCATTGCAGTCATGGAGAAGACTCTCTCTTCCATATATACCAGCTTGCCACCCATATTCACCCCAATAAAAGGGCTTTGCAGTGGGTCTGGATGGTGACTAGATGTGCCGTGTTTCAGACCTTGATGGTCGCGACTGGAAACACTTTGCAGGGCGAATTGAAAAGATTAATCATTTAAAGGGTTGAGCATTTTTTTCCTGTTTAATTTTCACCTTTTTACCCAAATGAAACTTAAGAAAAATATTTAATTGAAATAAAAGGAATGGGGATTTGGAGACGCTTTGTCTCTCTTCCCTATGT